GCTAGTCTAGCTTGCATTGTGGAGAACGCTTTAAATATTCGTCAAAGGGTGATTAGGCGACATTTCAAGAAGGCTAACTAAAAATGGAAGGAAAACCCCAAAAAACCCCTAAAGGAGTTCTTTGCAGATAAAAAAAGGATGCATAATACAAGCTGATGCCCATTATTGTGGGATTTCACGGACAGGAAGCAATACCACAACAGGGCCAATGCGCAAAATAGATGAAGTGCTGGAGGAGATGAGATCCACTAGAGAATCCCAGTGGGAAGGATCTCCCACGAACTCTCCATTGAGGACTGCAGATGGTGCGGGAAAGATGCAGAAGCATCTGTGGGACCAGAAAAAAGCTTTATACTACTAATTTAAATAAATAAAACAATCGTTGAAATTTTCATTTATTTTTAAGTTAATTTCTTTGAGCACCAGCAGACTCTTATTTTTTTAAATTGCTCCAGTTGCTTGACAGTAAGACCATGCATTGTGGGTGAACTTTGAAATCTTCGGTCACACTACAAAGAATAACATTTTACGACTAGTGAAACTCTTAGCCGATCTGAGTACTAGGATTTAAGCGAGCTAAAGTAATCAATGGACTCAAATAATATAGTATGCTATTGATCAAGAACATCGCAGAACAGCATTTGCACACCATACGTGACCTAAAAAACAGAACATTATTATTATTATTTAATTCTCGTATGGCGAGAGAAACAAAATGTAAGCTTTTGGGAGACTGGAGCGAAGCAAAATTTATTTATATAAAGCTAGCTTAAAGTTAAAACTATAGGCTAACTAAATTAAGAGCTCTAGCAGCTAAGGCCTTTAGCTAGTCTGAGGTGTGGAATTATTTACATTTTTATTTAATTATAAATTATAAACTTAATTTGGGCTTTTTCAAGGAATGAGATGATTTTAATGACGTTGTCGGAAGTTGGGTTTGAGATGGTGTTGATGGGGTTAAGTGAATGGAAGAATTCTGGGTTGGGATAAGGAAGGGCAGTGGATAATGATATGTTGGATGTCTATTGGGGAGTGGTGGCAGAATGGGCATGTGTTGGGAAATGTTCTATCCATGTAATGGGCATTAGTGAGTTTGGTATGACCTAATCAAAGCCGGTGTATGAGAATTTGTGTTTTCGTCTGTAGCATTTGTTTGTACCAGGGATTGTATGTGTTTTTTCAAGAAGTGTGAAATGTCGTTAGAGATGTTGTTTGTGGAGTAGGTAAGGGCGTACTTATGGGCCTCTATAGTTGCTTTATCGACGTTCTCGTTCCCTGCTATGCCGATGTGGCTGGTGATCCAAATTAGTTTAATTTTAGGGAAGGGGTTAGAAACGAGGTTTCTGATGGTTGAGGGATAGTAGGAATGGTTATTGGAGTCGGTTAGGGACTTTAGTGCAGAGAGAGAGTCTGAGCAGATAGCATGTTTGCCTGGTATTTTTAACGCAATTTTAACAGCTTCATGGATTGCTATTAGCTCGCTAGAGAGAACGGATAAATAGTGGGGAAGGAGTCCTGTTTTGATTGCATTGATTTCGCTGGTTACGCTAAATTAAATTACGTTAAATGTAAATTATTCTGTCTTTTGTACTGGGATATTTGAACTTATTTTTTAAAGTTTTTAGTAAGTTTTTTAAGGGGGGTGTCAAATGAGTGCAACAGTTTTTTTTGAAAGTTTGCCTGATAAAAGTTTTTTTCTGTGTTCTAGTGTGCTGATATTGGCTTCTATAAGCAGACAGTAACCTATTTTGAGATGAGGATGGATTTTACAATATGGATTAGCGAGGAAGTGTTGGTGTTGTACTTTAGAGAGGAAAGGTGTTTAATAATGTTCAGAGGCTTGCATAGTTTGGTTTTTATGTGGATGGACCAGTTATATCTATTTTTTAGCGTGAGACCTAGGATTGTTGTGTTGTTAGTTTCTGGGATATTTCCGGTGCCGGTTCGGATTTCAGATTTGCAGTTAGGTTTGTTATTTTTCAATTGATAGGGAGGCTCCAGAGTCGGAACACTAATGACCAATTTCCTGGAAGTGGGAAGAGAGGTCTACAATGGTGTTTTTACTTCTGTTGTGTTCGATAATTAGGTGGAAGTCGTCAGCGTAAGCAGTGAATTTGATTTGCTTTGGTAGGGCTTTTATTTTTTTAGGGAACTGTAGGAAATTAGGAAAAGAATGATTAAAATGGGTGAACCATGTGGGGTGCCATTGTCGAGAAGAAAGCTGCTGGACAGATTTCTGCCGTTTTTGATAATTATTTTTCATGAAGTTTGAGAGATAGTTTATGATTCCGGGGCCTAGCTTCCATTCTTGGAGTTGTTAAACTATTGGGTGGTTACCTATTTTGTCGTAAGCCTTGGAAGGAGATGATAGAGAGGTGGCGCTTTAAGGAGAGGGATCTTGTTGCTAGGTGGTCTACATATAGTAGATTGTCTAGAACTGATTTACCTTTTTTGAGTCCGAACTGGTTGTTGTGAATGAGTTTGTTCGTTAGAAAAAACCACAACAATCTTTTCGCAATAATTTTGTCTAGTATTTTGTGCTATGCATAGGTTTAAGGATATAGGTCTGTACGATTTAGGTTCAAATTGCGGTTTTTGGGCTTTAAGGATAGGAAGAACGAGACTAGACTTAGAATATTATTAAAATGATTGTGGATTCTGATTTTGAAGGAGGGTGGTTAGTTTTTGATCATGGAATAGGAGATGCGGTCCATACCAGGGGTGGAGCCTTTGAGGGAGTTAAGGGCAGATAACATTACTATAAAGGATATGTCGTTTTCAATTTGGTTGGCTGCTTGACTCGGAATGTAATTTATTGAAGTATTTAAAAGGAGTTTGTTAGTTCTAAAGGAATCAGAGAAGTTTGTGTCCTTGGCTTCTTGCGACCTGAGTTCCCCGAAGGTGTTGTCTATTTCTGAGGGGCAAGTGCAGGTGTCTTGTGTAAGGGGGTTGTATATAGCATGTGTATGTTTTGTTGGGTGAAGGCCGCATAATCGTTTTATGTTGGCCCACATTGTCGATGGGTCGGAGTTAGGATTGATATCGGAAGTAAAATTGTATAATGCTGTTTTTTTTCCTTCTTTAAAAGCTCCTCTAAATTTAGCGTTTGCTTTTTTAAATTCTAAAATGTTTCTTGTGTTTATGTTTCGTTTTAGAAGTTTAAACTGATTGTTTTTTGTATTTTTTAAGCAATGTAAGTTCCTGATTCCACCAGGGGACTGTGTGCTTAAGGGAAAAGGCTGTGTTTTGTTGAATAGCTAAATGGGCAGACTGTATAAGTGTCCCTTTAATTTGTGCAGCTTCTTTATTAACGTTGCTGTTACAAGGTTGTGTAGAGAGTAATGATGTTGGAAAATAGTGTCCAGTCTGCTTTGTTCAGGTTAAAAGACGGTTTGGCGAGAAAGGATGGATGGAAAGTGTTTGGGAACATAGAAACAAGGATAGGAAAATGATCGCTTCTATGAAGGTCATCGATCACTTTCCACGTTATTTCAGGCGCTATGTCTGCAGTGGCAAGAGAGAGGTCTATGTGTGTAAATGTGTTGTGAGTGGAATAGAGTGTTGGAGACTTGTCGTTAAGGAGTATATAGTCTGATCGGTCTATGAATTTGGAAACAATGTTCTAGAGTTGGCTCTGGGGGAACCCCAATATGGGTGCCAGCTGTTGAAGTCACCTATAACTATAGTGGGTAGGTTTGTTGGGGAGAAGACGTTTTGGAGGTTGTTTGTGCGAAATTGTTTGTTGGGAGAGATGTATGTGGATATTGGTGTAAATTCTGTTTTGGAATTTACCAGAATGGCAATAGCTTCGAACTCAGGGGTTAGTTGGGGTTGCGTGTAGGAGATAGAATTATGCACCAGTTTCGCTGTGCCTCCGAATGCATTAGTATTGTGGCTGCAGAAAAGTGTAAAATTTACAGGGGTAGGTACACTGGTAGAAAAAACACGAAGTGAAATCAAATATATTTTTATTTGATTTTTTTTACTCCCATGCATAGTCATATTAAATATTAAAATCTTTCATTTAAATAAAAAACATATTTAAGCCGTATGTCAAATATGTAAGTATTCAATTCAAAGTGATTTTTATTTAAAAACAAGTTAGTCACATTCAAATCCAATGTGGCCATCTTGGTTTTAACTATTATAAAAAGTAGTTCAATTCATAGTATATTTGATGGTTTTTTATATTTCGAGTAAATACTTTTTCCATTTGTTCGGAATATGAACTCTTTTATTTTTGAATATAGAACGTTTTCAAAATTTGTATTTGACCAAATAATTGTAAATTATAAATCAAATTACATATCTATGTATATGTATTAAGTTTGTGACCCATATACACAACATAATTTAAATTATTAGTAATTTGCAAAAGAAAAACAGCTTTAATATTTAAAGAAAATGGTTTTAGTTACGGCTGCCCAACCACCGGCAGCCTCTTTCTATTTCCATGACAAATATCATAAGATTTGGCTTTGTAATTAACTATTAAAAGTACAAAAACATGCTTAGCCAAAGAAAAAATGTGCGGGCATTGTAAACGCTGGGCCGTAACCAAAAACTAAAACCAACGGCACAATGTGCATACTTACATATGTACATTCAGACAAATTAGAGACAAATATGAACAAGCAAAACGGCAAACGCAAGCGCGTCTTCTTCTTCCATTCGCATTTGTACATTGGCGGTCAAGAAAATATGTATGTATGTGCATAAGAACATAAATATTTGTTGTGTACCGATGTTTTGACAATAAGATATGTTCTTATAATATATAAATATAATAAAATAAAATAAATATTACTAAATTGACATATACAAGTTATTAAACTTAAGGACTTATTTGTACATATTTTCTTTTTTTCTTCCCCATTACTTTGACCTCTATTGTAAAGTAACGGCACGCGACAGATTTTGTCCTTCCTTTTTGCACACATGCATATGTATGTATGTACATATATACGAAATAGTTTGACACTCCGCTTTGTAGCGAATCCCGCGATCATTTCGAAGCAAGCGGTTCTCCTGATCGGATGTAAAAGTGATTAATAGAGCTCGATAAACAAGTGTTTATTTAAGTGTTATAAAAAAGTGAAAAGTACAGAAAAAAGGTGAGTCAAAAAAAAATACAATATTTACTTAATATTAAGGCATGTGCATGTCCACGTTATTTTTGTCGCATTTTTCCTTTTTGTGGTTCTTCTTTGTTGTGCGCGTTATTATTTCGTGAAAATTTAGATAATACATTTAACGAAATAAGCAAAGCTCAAAAGAAAATTACATTTAAAAACAAGGAAGAACGCTATAGTCGAGTACCTCGACTATCAGATACCCGTTACTCAGCTAAATAGGGATATGCAAGTAGCAAAGCGAGATTAAAATGCGCCACCTACCGGCGGTATACAGATTTAAGCGTTATGGGCGTTAGAGTGGGCGTGGCAAATTTTTTTTTGGACCAATCGATAGGTATTGACAAGACCAATACATTTCAGTTAAATTTGTTTATCTAGCATGAAAATTGTGGGCGTCACAGGTTTTCGCGGTTTGTGGGCGGTAAAGTGGGCCTGGAAAACTTTTTTTTGGACCAATCGATAGGTATTGATGAGAACAATACATTTCAGTTAAAATTTTTTATCTAGCATGAAAATTGTGGGCGACACAGGTTTTCGCGGTTTGTGGGCGTTAAAGTGGGCGTGGCAAACTTTTTTTTGGGTCAATCGATAGGTATTGATGAGAACAATACATTTCAGTTAAAATTTTCTATCTAGCATCAAAACTGTATGAGCCACAGTTTTGGACGGTTTGTGGGCGTTAGAGTGGGCGTGGCACTCTACTGAAACAAACTTGCGCTGCGCAGGAATCTCAGGAATCTGCGTGCCTAATCCCAGTATTGTAACTCTCATAGTTTCCGAGATCTCAGCGTTCATACGGACAGACGGACAGACGGACAGACGGACATGGCTAGATCGACTCGGCTAGTGATCCTGATCAAGAATATATATACTTTATGGGGTCGGAAACGCTTCCTTCTGCCTGTTACATACTTTCCGACGAATCTAGTATACCCTTTTACTCTACGAGTAACGGGTATAACAATAAAATATATACAATTGGGTAATAAATATGAGGTGGATAAAAAATATGCGAAAGAAATGAAGAATATGAAAGGAAATTAAGTGAAAAGTCGCGCAAACTATGTACATAGATAAAAGGAGTGGAATGCACGAGAAGGAAAACACAAAAAGGCGCAAAAAGACGCTTTGCTGCCGTTGCATTCGGCTCTGTGGCGTCGCAGTCGTTTCACCTATTTCTTAATAATATTTTTTTGCTCTTTCACGTGATTTTTCTCTAAATCTAACTAATTTTAAAATTAAAAAAAAAAAATAAAAATGAAATAAATTTAAACAATATTTTGGTCTTATTTAAATCCCTTTATATAAAAAAACCTACTCGAAACTTATTATAAAACTACTTAACTTTTTCTTTATAGATACAAATTTATTTCAACATATTGTACCCTGAGAAAGAAGCAATTTTATCTAGTAAATGGGACACATTTAAGGAAAAGGTTTTTTGCTTTTACGAAGAGCAAATACAAAACAAAGAGCGACTTAAACTATTAAAGACAGCTCAAAAAACTTTATCAATCGGTAATATATAATTTTTATAAATTTAAACTTAAATTTTTGCGGGTTTAATTTTATCTTCCTATAATAAGCTTGACTTTTTATAAATTATGCCATTACCAAAAATCTAATAACATATTCTTATTCACAGATTCCAAGGACTACAATTACTCTGTATTGTCTGTACTGTCAGCCGTCATTAAGGGAACCAACAAGCGAAAGAATTTCTCACTACTGGACTCGCAGGAAAGTACGAATGTTGCAAACTTTACTAGCTGCCCTATGCATATGTATTATATAAATTCTAAGAGTTACGTTAAGTACAAATGTATTTAAAACAAAAATAATGATAACGTGTTAGCATGGTAAAAAAAAAGAATGTAAGCAGAAAAATTGTTTGGATGATATGTTTAAGTTTATTTTCAATAAAAACACATTGCATACTTATTTGTGGCTTTTTTAAATATAAATCACGCTTGTTTTAAACTACGGATCGGTTTAAATTGAATATGCACCATAATAATATGGCTTAAATACTATATTTAAATCAAAAATAAAGTACAGTTCTTTTAACGGGGATTATATTTAATTTAAATAAAATTTGTATTTATATTAAAGTTCATCCCAGTCTGTTTTAAATATGAGAATTATTTAATCCAAATAAAAATATGCTGAGTTTTAAGGCGGGCTATTATTATTTTAACTATAAAAACCATTCAAATGAAATATTCTATTTACTGAAACTAAATATGAAAATATTTAAAATAAATATAAAAATATAATACTTTTTACTATGGAACATATTTAATTTAATTATTTTGTACTATTTTAACATATTTAATCGAAATTAAAAAATCGTTGGATTTACTACGAGATTATTCAAAAAGTAATTAACTATTTAACGTTTCGTTTTTAAGATTTTCATGTTAGGTTCTAAACCGCTGGGAAAAATAGTTGAAACGTTGGCGAAATAGTGACATTTACGATGTTTTTTCTACCAGAGTAGAGAATCTATGTGAGATATATGGGTTTCTTGTAAGTCAATTATATTTGGTTTATATTGTTTGAGAAGTGTTTGGAGTTCTTGGTAATTATTCTTGTAGCCTTTTATGTTTTATTGAATTAATTCAAGCATTAATCTAGGTTAGTAAGGGTGATTGGTATTTCAATTAATTTCCATATCGCATTAGTCGCTAGAAACATTCTCAGGCGTAGTTAATTTTTTTTTGGTTTTTTTGTGGTGGTTTTGGCTGCGGCCTTGAGGTTTGCGATCATGCGCTTGGACGTGGTAAGCGGTAGGATTTGAACAGTGTTGGTGGTTGGCTTGGGGTGGTTTTAGTTTATCTAAGTTATTATCTGTGTTTGTGAGCTCTGCGTTTGACGTTGGAGTTGGCCTGGAGGTAGTTGGAGCTTGTTGGGTATGCTTGGGTCTTTTGAGATGTTGAGGTCCTGTGTTTTGTTTTGGTGTAGGGTTGGGATGTGTGTGCTGGGTAGTTTTAGTTAACGAGATCGTAAGATGGAGAGAGCAGATTTGTTTTTGCATTTTTTTTGTAGTTTTAATGGCTGTGAGTCGACAGGAAGTCACAAATATGTGGCAAGTTTACAGAGTTGTGAGGATCGGCGGTTTGAATTTCTTTACAGTTTAAGCAAAGTGCGGGTCTAGTTCATTTGTCGTTACTGTTTGGGTCCAATTGGTATTCTTGTCCGCAGTTGTAGCATAGTTTGTTATTTCTGCATGCATTACTGATGTGGTTAAACATACAGCATTTATTGCATCTAAGGGGCAAGGGAATGTATTCCCTAACATTAGTTTTCTGGTAACCGATCATAATATATTCCGGGAGAGTAACAGTGTTGAAGGTGAGAATTACAAGGTCGGTCTCTGTAAGAGCATCGTTTTGTCTCTTGAGTATTTTCTCAACATCGCAGGCTAGCTGATTAGCTAGTTCTCTTTTTATTATGTTTTCGTCGATTCCTTTAATGTCGTTAGATTATATGACTTCCTTGGTAAAGTTAATAGAGATTTGGAGTTGGACGTTGACGGCTATCTCGGCGAAAGCTTTAAGTTGGAATAGTCTCTTTGCTTGAAGGTTAGTTTTTATTTTAATTAGTAAAGTTCCGTTTCTAAGTTTTTTACATTCTTCTACTTCACCGCTGCAGGCAAAGTCAATTTGCTTCTTGATCAAGAACCGGGAGATATTGTTTAGATTGAGATTTGAATATGATCTAAATATTGTACTGTATTTAGGGCCAGGTGTTTCTAAGAGTTCCATGTTATGCCTATGGGTAGTTGGTGGACTCCGGTCGGGTGAGTCCCCCATCTTGCCGTTGCTACGTTTATGGAGCGTAGCTTATGCTTGGCACTTGCAGTTCTAGCAATTGCAGTTACTGTTTGGTTTTTAATTGTTGTTCTTTTTTTTTTGTTTTGTATGTTGGTTTGTAAGGTAAGCTTTGGAATTGTAACGATGATAGAAAGGCACGACTGTTCTCTATGAGAGTGAGTTTGCTTTAATTTCTTACAATTTTTTGAATATGTATAAAAAGATTCATTCGAGCCATATTTTTCTCTTTTTCACACTACATTTTTCTGAGATCGACACATTAAAAAAAACAAGGAAGAATGGTATAGTCGAGTACCTCGGCTATCGGATACCTGTTACTCAGCTAAGGGGACCAAAGAGAAATGGAGATATGCAAGTAGTAAAGCGAGATTAAAATTCGCCACCTACCCGCGATCTCAATATATGGTTACATGTAGAGCTGGAAAGTCATCGGAAAGTTTCGATGTTTTTCAGAAAAAACATCGATGTATCGATACATCGAATTTTTTTTTGTGTGTAATTTTGAAAAACATTTTTACTCCATATAATATTATAAACGAATATTATAAACCCAATGTGTAAGTTCTGTAAGTTCATTATAAAAAATTATGCTTTATTTGAGATCCATGGTTTTCTGTTTTTGATTCCTGCACGTTCAAAGTGAAACTTAAGCTACTCGTTCAACACAAAAATTAAAATTAAATCACATTTCAATTAAAATTAAAATAAAAAACAGTATAAAGTTCTACTCAATAAAATAAGAAAAAACAACATAACTAAAAGACAAGACAAGTTTTTCATATTGCCACTTGTTTGGTAGGTTTTACCACATTTTATGAATTTGGCTGTCTTGCCATCAGCCGATATGTCAAAATAGTTCATTACAGCAGATTGCCCATATTTCTTCCGCTTATTTGGGACCGTACCTTATTCCTCTTGGCAGGCAACTATATTGGACAAAAAACATTACAAATCATATACATTCATGTTCTAATTACTCTAATTACTAATGCTGTTCTGCTCTTTCAAAGTCTTCTCCATATCGAAGCGAGTTTTGGAAAACATCGATGTATCGATACATCGCCGATGTTATTTCCAGCTCTAGTTATATGGGCGGCAAACAATTTTAAGCGAAATGGGCGTTAAAATGGACGTGGCAAATATTTTTTGGGTCAATCGATAGGTATTGACGGTAATACAGTTCAGATAAAATTTTTTTTCTAGCATAACTGTGGGTGCCAAAGGTTTGGGCGGCTTGTGGGCGTTAAATTGGCTAAAGGTAAATCTAAAGCACCAACTCTCTCTATCTTTGATAGTTTCCGAGATATCCGCGTTCAAGCCTACGATTTTTTGAGGTTTAATTGAAATTTTTTTTTAGCATAAGAATTGTTTGCGCCACAAGTTTGGATGTTAAAGTGGGTGTGGCAAACTTTTTTTGGGGTCAATCGATAGGTATTGATGATTAAAACTGTAGGAGCCACAGATTTGGGCGGCTTGTGGGCGTGGCACACTGACGAATCAAACTAGCGCTAGAATCTACATGCTTAATTTCAGTATTGCAGCTTTTATAGTTCCCGAGATCACAGCGTTCATAAGAACAGACGGAAATGGCTAGATCGACTCGGCTAGTGATCCTGGTCAAGAATATATATACTTTATGGTGTCGGAAATGCCTCCTTCTACCCGTTACATACTTTCCGACGAATCTAGTATACCCGTTTTCTCTACGAATAACGGGTATAATTATTACAGGATCCTCATTACTGCACCATCTCGTTATCCATGCGATCCAAGTTACTCTTTAGCTCATCTCCTTGTAAACGCAGGTCCTCCACATCCTTCTCCAGAGTATCAATTCGACTAACTAGCTGTTTAAAGTCACCCATGAAAGCATCTAGGCGCTCAATAGCACTGTCTATAATGCGTTTGTCGGCTTCTCGCATGTTGGAACCCACAGCATCTGCCTGCTCCTGGAGCTGTTGGTTCAGTACAGATAGCATTTTATCCATAGGGACATCTGATGTCCGTTTTTACTTGGTCTGCGACGTTAACATTTTTAAACTAAAAAGTTTTGGCTTTTTACAGATTTAGCTTTTTACTGTACTCCTGACAGTTTTAGATGAACTGTTCAAAGGTTCAGAAGTGTGATTGGCAGTAGCGATAGGTGTTCCAATCAGCTGACATGTGTCACATCTGATGTTCTTGGTAGTACTCAGATCGGCCAAGAGTTCCACTAGTCGAAAAATCTTATTTGTAGTGGGACCGAAGTTTTCAAAGTTCACCCGCAATGCATTTAGCATGGTCTTATTATCAGCAGCTGGGCTTGTTGACAGACGGAAGACAAATCAATTGGAGCAATTTAAAAAATAAGAGTCTGTTGGTGCACAAAGAAATTAACATAAAAACAAATTAAATGTTCCACGAATGTTTTTATTTATGTAAATTGGTAGTTAAAAGATTCCCTCTCGTCCCACGAATGCCTCGCCATCTTTTCATTCCGCCATCTGTTGTCCACCTCCGAGTCTCAATAGCCTTATTGGACCTAGAGGAGCTGGGAGCCGGACTGGGAATGGGATTGTTCCGCCTGATGCTGCAGGAAGTCGCCCAGCACCCTGGTAATGGCTGGTAGTGGCACCTCCAGCTGTCTCTCAGCGGGCGCCCTTTTTTCCTCTTCCCTATAGAATCCAGCGGGTCCTCCATCTCCGCTTTAGCTGCCAAAAAGCTGGTGGAGGTGGAGTCCTGTGGCGTCCCAATGTAGAGCTTGTCGGAGATTGTTCTGCTAAAAAGGTACTTTAGTACAACGTAACCAAATTCTTTTGGCCAAAACCTACTTTCTCTGCGCGGACAATTCCGGCAGGATGTCGATGAAGGGAGCGAGGTCCCACTCCTTCCCACTGGGATTCTCAAGTGGATCTCCTCCAGCACTGCAACTATTTAATCTTTGGGCCGCGGCTAACGGCTTTCATTAAAATTCACTCGCCAA